TCAGCGTCTCAGGATGCTCCTCCCCGAGCACCTTCTTCCTTAGCCGCAATGCCTCTTGATGCATCTCCTCCGCCTCCAAGTACTTCCCCTGATACCTCAGCGCCTCGGCCAGGTTGTTCATGCTCGCCAGCGTGTCAGGATGCTCCTCCCCTAGCACCTTCTTGCTCAGCCGCAATGCCTCTCGATGCATCTCCTCCGCCTCCGAGTACTTCCCCTGATCGCTTAGCGCCAAGGCTAGGTTGTTTATGCTCGTCAGCGTGTCAGGATGCTCCTCCCCGAGCACCTTCTTGCTCAGCTCCAATTCTCCTCGATGCATCTCCTCCGCCTCCGCGTACTTCCCCTGATACCTCAGCGCCGAGGCCAGGTTGTTCATGCTCGTCAGCGTCGAAGGGTCTTCTAGCCTGACCGTCTCCCTTCTCGTATCGGATACTTGCCGGTAGAGGCTCTCTGCTACATCATAGCGCCCATGGTCTTGGTAGAACGATGCAAACCATCCCGCCGCCGCACAACTCCTCAACTCCTGTCCCACTCGTTGTCCGTCCGAGCAGAGCCGTCTGTCATTCTCGAGGCACATATTTATGTGCCCAAGGAGAATCACTCGCGCTTGTAGTGAATAGTTGACGGATCCATCTATGCGCCGGACATTATCCGCCGCCATCTCAATTGCCTCAGATACAAACTCGTGAGTCGCCTCCATCCCCAATCGGACTTGCAGCCAGTCGCAGATCACCGGATGTAACGAGAAGCGTGCCCCATCGATAGACGCGCCACTAGCGATGCTGTCTAACAGAGAGAGGTCGTACGCCTTTGAGATCAACTCCCAGAATAGATCTGCATTCCACGGTTCTCGATCTACCACTGGCGTCTCGTCTTCTGCGTCTGACCCGGACCCTGCCGAAGCCATTGCAGGACCTTCTGGGTCGCTGTCGGAGACTCTGTCAGATTCCGACGACTGAGAGCAGTCGTTGCTGCCGGAATCTTCATGACTGAATATCCTCATCCATACTGGCGCCGGTTGCGTCCATTCCCAGTGGTGGCGGAACAGTGACTCGTCAATCCGGTCGGGCTGGAAGAAGGCCGACACCGTCAAGAAGTGCCCAATATCGCCCCTCCGCGCCTCGTCTTCTTCCAACTGCTGAAATGACATCTCCCACGTCGTGAATGCGCTAATCGCCCGGTTGTCTTCTTCTTTCCCGTCGACTTGTACCGTGCCGTATTTCCAGAATCGCCGGGGCGTATGTCGTAACACCTGTTCGCGTTGTGCCTCATACAAGCTTAAGAACTCGTCGAGCTGATCTAACGTGAGCTGCTTATATCGGATAAAGGCTGCTGCCTGATCGAGGGCGAGAGGTAACCCGCCTAGCCGTTCGACGATCTTACTACATCTCTCCCGATGAGCGTCCACCTCAGACGTTGGATGGTCGTATAAGAGGAGTTCTGTCCCTTCCTGGTTCGTCATAGGCGGTACTATTACGACTCGTCCGAGTCCTTCCAGTCCTTTACTGCGACTGGTGATAAGAATGTCGCCCACGCTATCTGCGTTGGATAAGTTAGCTAGTTTCGTGAGGATAAGAAGGTAACTAACGAGATGGGATAAATTGCTCAATGCTCGTAAAGTGATCCGGGTCGTCATAGTTATCCAACACCATGAGCCACCGCTCGCTCCGTCGCGCCAGCGCCTGGACGACCAGTCGGATTTTGGTTCGAGTGTCGTCGATTCCCGCAAGTGGCTGTCCAATCTCTGCCGCCACTCGTTCCATCGACTGTGTCGCTATCGTCTCCGAACTCGCATTAATCCAGAATATCTCCGCATAAGTGGACCGCCGTTGTCGACAATACTCTAGCGCAATCTGACTCTTCCCTTGTCCGCCCATCGCCTGGAGGATAAGCATACGACATTCGTCCGCGGCATCGTCCGTAAAGTATTCCTGAATTCGTTCCAGCTGCTTTTGGCGACCTCGGAAATATTTGACTCGCCGCCGGCTTGCCTGTTCATACGTCGTTTCCAAAGGCACGGATACAACCTTCAACACAGAATGGGCTTTAGTTATTCTGCTATCTGACTCTTCCATACACTTACAGGTGGGACCAGCATCGACGGCACCGATAGTTGCTGTTGAGCATCTTTCGCCATCTGTTCGATCACTTCTGCCACAAGCAAATAATCCTCTTCCGTCGCTCGCCCGAACTTGTTCATGTTGAAATGCGTCCGCGCGAGCGGGCGTTTCGACACTCGATCCGACACATCCAGACACCCGGATCGTTCATTGACGGCGAATGCCTTCACCGCATCAGTATGAGCCAAACATCTTGTTATACACCCTTCTTACCTTTCGTCTCTGTTTCCCCACGATTGATCCAATCTCACTCGCTTGGAGCTCGAAGAAGCACGCGATGCGCGCACCAGGCATGTTCGCCCACACCCTCTTCTGAAAATCATCTACTAGGTCTTGCAGCAGCTCGTTGCCTGGGTCGAGGATGTGGAGAGGCTCCTGCTCAATATCTTCTGCGGTATACTTCCGTGCCGCCGCCTGCACTATTTCGCTCTGGCTCATGCCATCGGCCCCGCGGAACGGCGTGCCGAAGAACACCAGCCCTCGGACCGTATCGAACACGCCGGGCCAGTCGTCTCGGTCGTGGTACGTATTGCAAACAGCCTATGCTTCTCGTCAGTCCACCCTTACACCAGTATCAGTGGAGGTCGGCAAACTAACCTTGAGCACTACTAACCCTCCAAAGCTGTGGGCAATCAATATCAACGGTCGATCGATGCAGTCCTTCTCTTGTCAGCGCCACATCTCTCCTATGCACCCATCGGTTTTCACCTTTCGCTCTCGTCTCAAGGCAGTTAGAAACCGCTCCGCAGTCGTTCGAGCCGACTGCTTGATCGCCTCTGCTCCAAACCAGCCCGATTTGTATCCGTACCGCATGATGCGCGCGTTCGGCACCCTTGTTGGTAGCATGTCCTCCTCTTCGAGCCAGTTGACCCAGCGCGCCTCATCGCCGTCGCCGCGTTTCTGGGTCCAGGTGTCGTCCGGGTGCGCGCCGAGGCCGTGGACGGCGACAATGCTGTCGTGTGTTAGAGAGCTGAACCAGTCACATTAGGCATTACACTCACTCGATGATCTTATCTCCATTCTCGGCATCCGGGCTCGATGTCGGCTCCCGCAGCACTTTCAACCCCGTGTCGTCGTCAGTGGTCGGTCGCACCTTGATCGAGTTAACTAGGCCAGACAAACTAGAGGTCGACACATACCATAGTTAGGCAGAATTCCGTTTCGAGATGTGAACAGTGTAAGGAGAGCAATCTCCAGTGTGTAGCATGGACTTGATGGGAGCGTTAAAATCGGCCATTGAGCCTGCCATGGTTTCAGCTGTTGTAAGGCTGGAGCTGCTGGAATCTGCTGTCCCTTGGGTTGTGGCTGATGTCGTTCGATTCCATTGGGTAAGGAGTCTGTGCATCACACTGCACTGGCGTATCAGAGAAAGCACCCTGCTCTGAGCTTTTAACCGATCACCAGATCACTTAAGCGCGCCGAGGTCTACGGATGGGCCAGCATCATTGACACATGGGCACCTCCAACGCCTGTCGCAACAGGGAAATCCAACGCCATCGACAAACAACGCGCGGAACATCTCGATATTAATGGTCATCTATGATTGCTATCATAATCTAGCCTACGGTGGAGCGTATGCTGAAGGATTGCGGAATTTTATTGGTTCGTGTACCGCAGTCCCTCTAATTGGCTGTACAGACAGAATGATGGAATATTCTAGCATATTCTCACAGTTCCCAACCTGAAAGGCTAAAAGGTCACACACTGTTCGTTCGTGTTTGCATGCGCTGCGGCAAGTTTCAATGGCGCCGAATCTTGCGGCGTCGCAGCATGATCAGTTACGAGATATGATCGTCGGACAGTCGCTAACCAACCAACAGATGGCCGACGTGGCGGGCTGCAGCATCCGTACTATCAAGTCGATCCGCGCCAACCTTCGTTGCTTCGGCAGTACCAAAGCGCCCCGCAACGGCTGTGGACGCCCTCGATCCCTGACCCCTCCTATGGTCGATGCGTTGCGCGAACATCTCCTTGAAAAACCCGATCTATACCTCGATGAGATGGCGGTGTTCCTATGGGATGAATTTGAGGTGCTTGTGGCCACGTCCACCATCAGCAGAACGCTGGCCAGAAGCGGCTGGTCAAAAAAGGTGGCTCGTCGGGTGGCGATGGAACGCAACGCGGATTTGAGGGACTTCTATCTCCATAATTTGTCTCATTTTCACTCGTATCATCTCGTCTATGTTGATGAATCCGGTTGCGACAAACGGGTTGGATTTAGACGGACCGGGTGGTCGCCCCTAGGTTCGACACCAGTCCAGGTGACCCAGCTTCGCCGTGGGCAGCGATACCAGATCCTGCCCGCGTACTCACAAGATGGACTGCTCCTGGCCCGGGTCTTCCAAGGGCCCACGGACAGCGATGTCTTTAAAGACTTTGTCGAACAGCTCCTTCTTCACTGTGGCAGATGGCCCGAGCCAAAGTCCGTGCTGGTCATGGACAATGCATCCTTCCATCGTAGCGATCAAATTGAGCAGATGTGTTATAATGCCGGGGTCAAACTTGTTTACTTACCGCCGTATTCACCTGATCTCAACCCCATTGAAGAGTTCTTTGCCGAATTGAAAGCGTTCATTAAACGAAAATGGAATACTTACGTGGAGAGTCCTGAGCAAGATTTTGGTGCGTTTCTTGAATGGTGTGTTGAAATGGTGGGAAGTAAGAAAGAGAGTGCTCAAGGTCACTTTAGACATGCAGGGGTAATCATTGAAGAACCGGAGGTGAATTAAATAGCCTTATGACAGAACTCAGGGGCGATGTATTTCTACTCTATGGAATATAATTGAATCCGATTATAATAATGCGGTACATAAACTAGCTAAAATGATATCTCTACGTTTACAGGACCAGCCCGATCTAGAGACGAACTTGAAATTTTAGAGGATGGTGACCGCGCAGGCATCCAAGCTCCTCCGGGAGATCGAGAGCGATATCGACGACACATACAAACGCATTGAAGAAGACGACAAGTACTACGCACTCAAGGGGAGGCTCCAAAAGCTATGGGTTGTGCTCAACAGCCCGGAAAACCAAGGAACATGTGAAAAACGCGAAAATGACGCGCCCGGAAACACGCGTCGCAACACCGAGAGTAGGAGCCCAAGCAGGGGCAGGAACCTGAAGAAACCCGGCAATATCGACCTTCGCGGAAAAGCAAAGGCAGGACCGTCCCCTCCTCGCTCAGCGGCGCCATCCTCGTCGCCATGCTTTAGCAGTAACTCGGCGACGTCGGCCGTAGACTTACGACGGAGGAAAGCGAAGGGCTAATCTATGAGGGATGGTACCCAAGACACCCACCAAGGGTTGAAGGAGGGGTCCTTCGGCTAAGAATGAATAAGGAGGCGGATAGAGTCCGCCTTCGAGGCATGGGATCATGGAAGATGCTGGAGAGTATCAGAGAAAGGGCGGGCCCGGCAGCGGCCGATCGAATTATGTCCATAAGGATGTATGGGTATAACGAGACCGTAATACACCTTTAAGGGCCACGGGGCGAAACAAGCCCTAGAAAGTATGAACTGGATTCCGAAATGGGAACCCTCAGTCGCGCCAGCGAAGAGAGAGTTCGAGCTGCTTCTCTCGGATGTGCTGGTGGTAGGCACAGCTGAGGAGACGGCGCAGGCTATCTACGAAGAGAACTCAATAGGCTATATGGGCTTAAGAGTGGTACGAGCGTCCTGGTGGGGGAAGAGCTGGCAGGACGACGAAAAGAGAGAAAGGCGGTCGATGAGGCTCGTGATTGATGACACCTCAATAGCCAACCGACTCATCGATAACGGGCTGGGACTGAGATCGACACGCATAAGGATCAAACGATTCCAGCCTAAAGGGGGTAAGCAACTACCTCTCTATTTCTACGAGAGCGAGCTATCTGCTAGCTTCTTCACAATCCTATCCTCGCAGGAGGAGATGGAGGTTGAAGGGCAGGAAAGGCTTCACTATTGAAGAGAGCTGGCAGGAGCCGCAGGCGCTCGACCCCGACGGCGACGACGCGGTGCGGATTCGCGCCTGAGGACAATGGTGAGGTGTCGACGAGGTGGTAGCCAGCTGAGACCACCTGAGGCTAGGTCGACATGGTCTACGATGGACTGAGTCCATGGAATCTGATTGGTCGGGACCGGGCTGGACGACGTACAGCCCGATTCTGACTAATTAGGAAAGAGGAGGTAGGGCAGACTGTTTCCAGCGAGGGCAGACTGTTTCCAGCGAGGGCTGGCGTCCACCTGAGACCTTAGATGTGACTCGAGCGACGTTAAACGAGACTAAATAAATAAGACCAGCCCATTTATTTCTTGTGTTCGCTCCGTTACTACGTCGAATCACTTCTGGGACGCTTAGCCCAAACCTCAATGTCGCGGATAAAACGCCGTGCAATGCCTCTTTTAACTCCTTTCTTGATGAGGAATTCGGAATCTTGATCTTCATGCACCTGCTCGAGATCAAGACCTTCTAACAACACTGCATCCCGAGCCTTTCGAAACTCCGCTTTGAGTGACTCGTGACGCACCTGGGATTGCTGCCAGATACAGTAGTCAGTTACCGCTACGTCACGCAGACTGGGAATGCGCAGTTGACATGTCACGGCCGCCGCCAAAGGTACGACGGCATCGGGCGTTGCTACATTGGGATGTGATAATGGAGTCTGGGCAGTACTTCCTGGCATGACGTTGGTGATGTTAATCGATGGGATGACACCGGGAGATTTGGTAGTATCTGCCCTCCTCTTCTCCATCTTTTGCTGCTCCTCTGCATATAACTGCTGCCGAATATCGTCAGGCACATCATCATGACTTTGTAAAGTGCCACCCAGTTCGACATGCCGAATGAGGCTGCGCAGGTGATGAGTATTCAACTTGTAATGTCTCTTGCCGACCGGATCCCGCCAACAGTGAGGGCCGAGGTGGCAGGGCGGACCCGGGCAGCGCATGAGATTATACACATCTCGCCAGATTGAGGGCTGACCTGACACGGTTTCTTCAGCGTCGAGCTGTGCACTTAGTTCGGCGCGCATGTGTTGAGTGGCCGAAATGGCACCTCTTTTACCCCCTCTCTTACCGGAACCGCTGGCTAATGCTCGACCGGCGTCGATGTAGTTGAATGATAGGTCGACCCGCAGCTTCTTGCCAGCTCGAAAAAAGGCCTCCCACACGACCAATTGCTTCTCCACCAGGGCCCAGTCAATATCGGTCTCGTCAAATCGCTTGGTGAGATCGCGCTCCGTCCGGTCGCTGACTGAGACGACGACATTGGTGTCATCACATCTGACACTGCGGTTGGGAGACACTTTCTTTTGCAGGAGCTTCTCTACCCGAGATCGCAAGAATTGTCGCCAGTAAGAACCTGGTGCCAGCACCACATCCGGCTCAGTGTCTTTGCCAATCGTCTTGCCGCTGACAGTCACCTTCCACTCGATGGAATAGTGAAGACATGTGGGAGGATCGTCATCGTACGCCTTCTCTTGATCCCATTCCGCCACCTGGAGGAAGGACAGCTTGGTTCTACGCAGATAATATCTCTTTTCGGAGACGCACTCCTTCTGTGAGTCGTCGACAGTTTCATTTGGGGTCGTATTCAATTCGGCCGAGTCAGGGAGGGAAGATGCGTCGGCACGGTCAACATCGTCGGCGTCCTGCATTTGTGAGTCATCTTGTGGATCAGCAATTTGGAAATTGAAAATATCTGCGAAGGGGTTGTCGGCGGCCATCGCGATGGTCTGGCGTGACGATGAATGGAGATGGCACCGAATGTTGATGACGATGGGCGACAGGTCCCAGTTTCCGGCCCAACTAGGCTGCGGACACAGAACACCCGCTTGCACGTATTCCCTGCGTTTCAGTTCGCCGCAGCACACCGCACCGCCATCATAACATACGAGCATCACCGTCCTTACCATCCTGAAGGGTTTCGCAAATCGAGCGAGAATGCTCTGGTGGATTTGATTTGAGGATTCCTTGAAACTCATGTAGTCAAGGTTGTGCCCTGAGAGCCGCAATATTGACTGTTGGGACGACTATCTGGCCTTCCCGCCTTGACCGCCCTGCATTGTAGTCGGTGAACAGCTCTAGGATCCGATAATAACCATGTCAACTAGTATGTATGCTAACCTTTCTCTTGCCATATGGGCGCCGCCGCCGGTACTTCTCAGGCTCTCGGGTCATGTGGCAGGGGAGGACGTCGATCGCTATTTTCGCCGTCAGGTATTTGCTAGATCGGCTCTGCTCAAATGGAATGCCGCCCTTTAGTATAACTAGAAGCTGTGTTCTGCAGTGTGATCTTGCTCAATGTGGATTCTTTGCCTGGTGGAGTATGGTTATCGTGTTTGTGGTGGCATCAGGCCAACGACCTGCGGTTGACCGTATCTTTGAGATTGGCGACAATGCTATCGCGCAGCGCAAAAGCCGAGTAGGCCGAGAAACTAGAGGGTATGTTACTGGTGTAGAGATCTGCGAACAGCATCAATCTGAGACAGAAAATCATAGGTCTGGCCATTTACAATAATCTAGACGACCATCGCCGGCTGTAAGCTCGCCTAAGCTTCTGTGTGCTGCTTGCGGGGTCATTGGCTAATTGTACAGAATGAGACTTAATATACATGTATGGCTAACTCCACATTTTGCTGCGGAGGGTCGTCGGGAGTGTGGACGGATACATCAGCCGCAACCGCGAAAAGGCAAGGTCTGATCAGCCGGAATACTGATCATGATTCCGCATGTCGAATACCGTACTACTGTACCCATATCAAACTACATTGAAATTATTTCCGATTGCCGTATAAAATGATCCTGAACCTGTTAGCACAATGGGCTGGCAGGTTCTTTCCTGTACAATTCTGCTTCTAAACACATATACACATGTGCCCATACATTATCCCTTAGCCCTATGTCGGTTTCTCAGCGTGAACTTCCACTCATTCGCAATCATTCCGAACCAAAGCGCTATTAAAGAAGATCCGACAGTAACTGTGATGAGTAATGTACTGATACCAAACCAGTAGAATATCTTCCACAGAAAGTAGTTGGAGGATTGCCGCCTAGGATCGGCAGCGAGAGCCACCTGCATTCCATTCAGAATCGTCGTCACCACGGCAAAGATAAACAAGATCGGCCCGTAAAGGCGTGCAAAGTACTCTCCATATTGCATGGGAATATGTTCGTAGGAGAGTCGACCGAACAAAAAGGGGGCGTAGAGGTTAAGTCGAGAAAGACGAAGTTCTCCATATCGATACCGAGCAGAAGCATCGCCATCTTTAACAGTTTCAAGGTCGGCTAAGAAAGTAGACATATCGGTCCAGTTGAGCTTGACCGGGACTAGTCGTAGATGCTCTTGCTGCGCAATCAATAGATCAGACTCGTGCTGGATGAGATAGCGATACGTCCGCAGGAAACCAATCGCTGCACGCCGAATGTGCCATTGCTGTGTAAGTAATGGCGACTGTGGAAACGTACTCATCCAAAACGAGTACGACAAAAGATAAGGGGGTAGCGGCTTAATGAAAATGCGATTGTTAATCCACACCAAGTGTAGGCGCGGATCTTCGGTCACAACGATCTCCCGTCCGAGGACCTTTTGTTGATGGAGAGCATGGATACTGGCGCTGGAGGGCGTGGTTAAGATCCATAACCTCGATGCGACGGCTTCGAGATCCGCGGCCCAGAGTTCCTGGCGGAGAAATCTGGAAAGCGCGTCAGAATCAGATAGTGATATAGTTGGATGACCAGGAAGATGCTGGGTCGCCGCTGGGGAGCCGGATACGTCAAGGTCGGGACAAAGTTGGTGAGGTTGCAAAAATGGAGATGTTCGGGGATATGCTGGCATTGTAGTTTGTCTATGCTAGTTAAGTGTTGACCACCGTATGTAACGATAGTTCCTGAATATTGAATGATCATGTGCGCTGTAATAAAATGTTCAGACCCAGCGAGTAGATAAGGAGGGGCTGCCGAGCTGTTCGTCGAATCGGCTTTTCCTCTTTGAGAAAACCATCGTGGCTGTGACAGTTGGCTGGACGCAGGGAAGGTCTTGCATTTAGCCTCATAGATAGCCACGAAGTTGCCGCCCAGCAAGGCCACGTCGGATATGTCGTCCACCAACAGAGCACACTGTGTAGTATGCCTACTGTTATATTGTGGGCCAAAGCCACCTTGTCTTATTCAGTATAAGCCTCACAGGTGGTGAACTGACCATGGTGCTTTCCATCTTCTGCCTGCTCCAGTCGAGTCACTGACTTCAGCCTCAGGTGCGACCGACCACTGACGACGACACGGGGTTGAAAGTGCTGCGGGAGCCGACATCGAGCCCGGATGCCGAGAATGGAGAGAAGATCATCGAGTGAGTGTAACGCCTAATGTGACTGGTTCAGCTCTCTAACACACGACAGCGTTGTCGCCGTCCACGGCCTCGGCGCGCACCCGGACGACACCTGGACCAAGAAACGTGGCGAGGGCGATGAAGCTCAGTGGGTCAACTGGCTCGAAAAGGAGGATATGCTGCCAGCGGCGGTGCCAAACTCACGCATCATGCGCTACGGATACAAGTCGGACTGGTTCGGGCCGGCAGCGATTAAACAGTCGGCTCGGAACGTGGCGGCTCGGCTGCTGGCGGCGCTGAGGCGAGAGCGAAAGGTAGGCAAGAGATGGACTTGAGGATAAGAACGGTGGACTGACGAGACAAGGGCTGTACCGATCGACCGTTGATATTCATTGCGCACAGTTTCGGCGGGCTCGTTGTACTCAAGGTCAGTGTATATACCAGAGAGACGGTTATGAGCTGATGAGAGGAATAGGCAGTATGCGATACTTACCATGACCGTAAGGAGTGGCCCGGCGTGTTCGATGCGGTCCGAGGGCTAGTGTTCTTCGGCACGCCGTTCCGCGGGGCCGATGGCATGAGCCAGAGCGAAATGGTGCAGGCGGCAGCACGAGAGTATACCGCAGAAGATATTGAGCAGGAGCCTCTCCATATCCTCGACCTAGGCAATGAGCTACTACAAGACCTGGTGGATGATTTTCAGAAGCGAGTGTGGGTACAAATGCCTCATGCGCGCATCGCGTGCTTCTTCGAGCTCCAAGCGAGCGAGATTGGATCAATTGTGGGGAAACAGAGACGAAAGGTAAGACGAGCGCATAACGAGATGTTCGGCTTATACTGATGTGGCGAAGGCGTTCGCTGTTAATGAACGATCGGGGTGTCTCGACCTATCAGATCGGGTGTCGAAACACCCCCTCGCGCGGACACATTTCAATATGAACAAGTTTGGACGAGCGACGGAGGAGGATTATTTGCTAGTGGCCGAAGTCCTTAAAGAGATGGCGAGAGACGCCCGGCAGCCGCTGCCAATAGCGGCACCATCTGTAAGTAGCTTCAACTAGTGATAGGAAGTGTCTCAATCTTATCTTTCTTTGAGGTTGTTTCCATTCCTGTCGAAACGACGTACGAACAAGCCCGCCGGCGGCGAGTCAAATATTTCCGAGGTCGCCAAAAGCAGCTGGAACGAATTCAGGAATACTTTACGGACGATGCCGCGGACGAATGTCGTGTACTCATCCTCCAGGCGATGGGCGGACAAGGGAAGAGTCAGATTGCGCTGGAGTATTGTCGACGACGGCGGTCCACTTATGCGGAGATATTCTGGATTAATGCGAGTTCGGAGACGATAGCGACACAGTCGATGGAACGAGTGGCGGCAGAGATTGGACAGCCACTTGCGGGAATCGACGACACTCGAACCAAAATCCGACTGGTCGTCCAGGCGCTGGCGCGACGGAGCGAGCGGTGGCTCATGGTGTTGGATAACTATGACGACCCGGATCACTTTACGAGCATTGAGCAATTTATCCCATCTCGTTAGTTACCTTCTTATCCTCACGAAACTAGCTAACTTATCCAACGCAGATAGCATAGGCGACATTCTTATCACCAGTCGCAGCAAAGGGCTCGAAGGGCTCGGCCGGGTGGTGGTTGTACCGCCTATGAACGAGCACGAAGGCACCGAACTTCTTCTCCATGAACATCCTCCGTCTCAGGTTCATACTCATAAGGAGAAATGTCGTGAGATTGTCCGACGACTTGGCGGGCTCCCGCTAGCCCTTGATCAAGCGGCAGCATTTATTCGCTACAGGCAACTAGCACCGAACCAGATAGACGAGTTCTTAACATTGTATGACGCACAATGTGCACAGATCTTACAACATACGCCACGATTCTGGAAGTATCGCACAACACAGGTCGATGGGAAAGAAGAAGAGAATCGAGCAATCAGCGCGTTTACGACGTGGGAGATGTCATTTCAGCAGTTAGAAGATAACGAGGCTCGGCGACGCGATGTAGAACACTTCTTGACGGTGTCGGCGTTCGTCCAACCTGGCCAGATTGGCGAACCGCTCTTTCGCTACCACTGGGAGTTATCGCAGCCGGCACCGGCCTGGATGAAGATATTTAGTCTTGAGGAGTCCAGCCGAAACAAGTACGACCAGTCATCTTCCCCTAACAAGGCCTCTAATAGCTACTCGGTGGATCATTCGACGGTGCTTTCGGAATTGGGACCAGACGCGACTCACTGCGAGTCACCCGTATTGAGTCGCGAAGCGTGGAATGCGAAACTATTTTCAGACCTGATCTCGAAGGCGTACGACCTCTCCCTATTGGACAGCATCAGTAGTGACAGCTCTGGGTATTGTACACACTTCTCGTTACATCCGGTGATCTGCGACTGGCTGCAACTCCGCGTGAGAGAGGAGTCGACTCACGGGTTTGTGTATGAGGCGATTAAGATGGTGACAGACAGTATACGGCAGATGGACAGATCTATCAATCACTCGCTGCAGGCGCGAATGGTCCTTTTTGGGCACGTTGATATGTGCGTTAAGCACGACCGACGGTTTTCTTCCGACGGCCGGCGATTAGGACAAGAACTTAATAGTTGTGTGGCGGCGGAATGGTTTGCATCGTTTTATCAAGACCAGGGACAGTATAGGGTAGCAGAGGGTCTCTATCGACAAGTATCTGATACGCGAGAGAAGATAGTCGGGAGAGAAGATCCGTCAACGCTAAGGAGCATGAACAACCTGGCCTCGGCGCTGAGTCGTCAGGGGAAGTACGCGGAGGCGGAGGAGATGCACCGAGGAGAATTAGAGCTGAGCAAGAAGGTGCAAGGGGAGGAGCATCCTGA